TCATTACACTATAAAACTGCCTGTCTTGTCTTACTAAGTTGCTGGCTCCTCTTGGAACCTAGCCTGCTTCATGAAAGGGGTCAATCTCAATAAATGCCTATACTTGGATTAGAGGTGGTCTGACTCTGAATTGTTTGAGATGGTACTACCACAACACTCCATGAAACTGCAACAGTAATACTTGAACTGGCCTCGATCTCCATTAACATTGAAGTGACTTTGTGTTTAAAAATAGGAAATTGTATGTGCTATTGTAGGTTTCAGTATTAGAAAGTATTAATAGAAGCTTTAAGGATGTAGAGGTTCAGGGGTGTAAATATGGTATAGAAGGAAAAGCACTGGATATGGAACAAAGATCTTGGCCAGTACATGTAGAAAGTTTATAAATAAACATAGAAATATTTCTATATTCCGTATATGGGCGTGTGTTCTTACGCCCTTTTTTGCTCTTTTTTTGTTTTAATGATGGTGTACCTAGTCCAAAAAGTTTGAAGAGCACTTGTGAAAAAAATTAAACTATATTGAGTTTCAGTGTGAGTTCTATGGAGATTATTATAAATATGTTTTGGAGTCATCTGACTATAGCAGACTCATCTTCCTGAGTTCAAATCTGGCCTCAGATGCTTACTAGCAGGGTGATTCTAGGCCAGTCACTTAATCCTGTTTGCCTCAGTTTCCTCATCTGTGAAATGAGCTGGACAAGGGAATGGAAAACCACTGCAGTATTTTTGCCAAGAAAACTCTAAATGAGGTCACGAAGAGTCATACTCCGCTGAGAAATGACTGAACAACAACTTTTCCCCTTGTGTCTCTTTCTCTGACATCTTGTGCTTGCTTCCCATTTGTAATCTCCCCATGTTTCTTCTTCATTTTCTTCCCTGCTACTTCAGGCTTCCCTTGCCTTCTCTGGATTCAGTGCCTTGGATGTTTAAACAGACCTCTCTGAACTATGGGCTTAGCACACTCAGGGACAAAGGAGAGAACTTTTTTGAGCTTTGCCTCAATTTCAGGTTTTCTCGATGACGGTTATTCTTTTCTAGGCTTCCATCCGAAACATTTTCCTCAAAAGATTATAATTCCACGAGAGTTCTTAGAATATATTAATGGATTATAATTTAGATATATTACATCAATTAAAAATGTTATCTTATTCTTAATGACACCTTTTATTTTGACATCATATTTATTAGTGAATATCCCTTCCCCCACCTGACCATTTCTTGTATTAACGTTTTAAAAAGAAATTTAAAAAAACCAGTTTAACAAAGCTAAGCAATGTTATCAATCATATCAGAAAATATATACGTTCCACATCTGTACTCCAGGACCCTCAGGAACTGTCATCTGATGTGCTGATGAACCCTAAGCATTCCTGGACCTGCCACTTATCCTTCCACTATATTCTTAGGCTTTTCAGCTCCTTCCATTTGGTATTCAGCTGTACTCTCTATTTTTCCTAATTATAGTGCAAGTTTCTTGAGAGCAGGGACTGTCTCACTTTTCCTATTCGTGTCTCTGGTACTTAGCACAGTGATTGGTATATAGTCAATATATACTCAGTACTTTTTCATTCATTCATTTATTGTTCCTCACTTCTTCAAGGAAGGCTAAACAAATTATGGTACACAAGTGCAAAAAATATTACTGCATCATAAGAAATGGAAATATTAAGAATTCAGAGAAACATGAGGAGACTTGTGGGAACAAATGTAATGAATGAAGAATAAAGCAAGACCAGAAAAAATGTACACAATGGTTATAACACTGTAAACAGGAAGAACAAATAAACAAAAAAAAAACCCAACTGAAGGCTGTTTAATTACAGTAAACTTGGCCCTGTGGTCTCAGGAAGAGAAGACCCTATAGGAGAATGGGTGAGGAGGAGGGGGTAAGAGTTGAAAATGGGGAAGAAAGGAGGGAGGCTTTGTTTTAGTTATGGGAGGGGGTTCTACCAATGAATGCTCCTATGGGTAAAGAGATGTTCTGTGAAGGGAGATTGGGGACCTTGTGCTGGATGTGGTCTGGGGGATTTGGTGAATGAAAAGACTACTAATGTTGCCTCAGGAAGGAGGGAGTTGGAAATTCTGGGAACAACTAACTGTCAGTAGGGGAATGGGAGGGTATGGACCCAGGAAAGAGATTTTGAGGCAATTGGGGAAAGAACTTAACCAGGGGGAGGTCATAGAAGAGTGATGGGCTGCATAATCAGAGAATTAGTTTGGGGGAAGGTTCTATCATAGGACAGTGTCCTCTCCGTCACCTGCATGAATTGGCATTGTTCTGGGAATGAGGCAAGATGGAAAAGAGGAATTTGTAGGGCAACCTCAACAAACACTGAATGGACGTCTCAGACGTTCTAATTCCATGAGAGATACAGAGAATAGAGGGTCACGTCAGATAATTATAGGAGTTATAAACCAGAGATTGAGGGTCTAGATTAGACAGAAATAGAGACTGGATAACTAAAAGAGTGAAAGAAACCCTCTATGGAAAGGGATGCAAAAAAATGAAATAAAAAAAAAACCTGGGGCAACTAGGTGGTGCAGTGGATAGAGCACTGGCCCTGAAGTCAGGAGGACCTGAGTTCAAATATGGCCTCAGACCAAACACTTGACAGTTACTAGCTGTGTGACCCTGGGCAAGTCATTTAACCCCAATTGCCTAAAAGCAAAAACAAAACAAAACAAAAACCACAAAAAAACCCTCTGATGAACAGTACTTGAAGGGGAAGAGAGGAAGGAACAATCTGCTTGATTTATATAGCGCTAAATCTGAAAATTAACTTAGGTAGTATCTTTTTTTTTTATGGGCCTGGCTCAACAATGAACAGTTTTCTAATTGTCATTGATTCTTTAGGAGCATTTTGTAATTGTATTTATATATCTTGAGTGTATCTTGGGAGTTTGGCTTGAAAATATTCAATGTGTTTCACAGCTTTTTTGAATTATATTTCACTTTTTATTAGTTCTTCTTGTATTTTGTTATTGCTAGATAGAAACGCAATATGTGGATTTATTTTGTATCCTGATACTTTACTGAAGCTATTGTCTCAAATAGCTTTTTTGCTGATTATCTGTGATTTCCTAACTAAACCAAATAATCTACAAATAGGAACAATTTCATCTCCTCTCTGACAATGTTTATATTATTAATTTCTTTTTCAAGCCTTATCACTAATACTAAAATTTTAATTGGATTTATTTTTGTGTGGTATGCCATATTCCATAGTCTGGGCAAGATCCTTCTCTTCCATGGATGTCACCTAATAAGTTACCTTGAAATCAAAATGAAAAATTTAAACCAACCAAGAAATAGAAATCTAAATGATAATCTTTACATGCAAAATTTTAAATACCCTTATTGCAATGTTACCAAATAAATGTCAATATTTATTCTGAGAGATAAAGGTAATTTTCATTCAGGAGACATTAACAGTTCCCAACACGCTATCTAGGAAGAATTCAGAGTTATGAAATATACTTTAGAAAAATGCTCCCAGTAGTCTGTGCAGGATTTATTTTTATTCCATTGTTTGTAACTGTATCGCATATTGCTGCAGAAATTTTACGTTTTTCTCAAACAAACTTTAAAACTTCCACGAAAGGAGTATTTTCAGGAACAGTTTTTTTTGGCATGGCAGCCACAGGTCCACCTTCACTATGATTTCAAAGTAATCTTGCGATATGTTGAGGCTGGGATGGGGCCTAGGAGATTCTCACAATGATGTACCGAGCCCTCTTCTGGCTCTTGTTTAGTACCCAGTTTTGTCCAGAGATAGAACAAAACCAAAAATAAAAAGAACTAGCTATAATACAACCACCATAGTAAAAACAAAAGAGAGCTTCTGAGCTAGCAGTGGCCCACATCTCAGCTAACAACATGACAAAAATGCCTGAGAGAGGGGAGGCCTACTTTTCTCTTATTTCCTATCATGTGCCTTGATGCCAGTGTGCAATCCTCATTAGGTTTCTGAAGATTTTGTTTCCTTGCTTTGTTTTTTCTGCTAGAAAACATGAACCAGCATCTCCCCCAAAGGCTGTGGATTCATATGGACCAGGATCAACATTTGAAGCTGCTTCCAAAAGGTCAGTTTCTCTCCTTAGTTCATTTCCCTTACCTGTAGTTGGAACATCATGGAGTATACTTAAAGTATAGATCATTTTTAGGGTTTTCTATTTAAAGGTGATGGGATTTTCAGTTCCTGTATGAGCAGGAGTATTAAATATTAAATTATGTTGAGTATTAAAGTATTTAAAATATTAAAATTATGTTGAGAAAGATAGTCTTTTTCTCACCTCAGAAAATGCATAAAACAAAAAGGACTCACAGAAGCCCACACATTATAAGTAACTGGACTTCCAACTAGCCCTGGGGTGTTTTGTATGATGTCGCATTGATTGAAGGAGATATGATTCCTGAATGGTGGAGAGAATTCTAAAACCACATGATGCTGAGTTCAGCATGCTGTATAAGGGGTGAAGTTGGCTCAAGTTTCTTGGGAAAGAAATACATGTATGTTTTCAAGATAGTTTTCAAGAGAGAGTAAAAAGACTTTGGAAGCTGCAGACATATAGGAAAAAATGGCTATTTAACAAGTCTCTGATTTCTAGCTTTTCTCCTTAGAGACTTTGGAAATTTTCTCCTTGGATGAGGTTGGGGTCTCTTGATTTGAGCTAAGATCTCATCTCACTTCTATCAAGCAGCTCATTCACTTTTAAGTATTTTCTTTAAGCATGTGAGGCCTTGTTCGAGTTCTCAAATCAAAATTGGTTGGGAGCTGCTGACTTAGTCTAGCCATGGCCTGGTTCTGGCTGGACTAAAATACTGTAGCATAAGCCAACATCTCCTCCCTTCCCTGGACTTATTTTAGCTTTTACGCTGACCCAAACTGGCCCCAATCCATGATGGTAAACTCTTCTTACAGAATCAGAAATCTGCAGGGCATAATCAATCATCATTTTTTTTTATGTTGGCATTTGATAACAAAAAACCACATCTTCAAGGATCCAGGAAAATAAATTTATTAAACTTTGAAGGAAAAATCCACAGACATAAAGAAGTTAAATATAAACCGAAAGACACAACTATTCATACTGCTGAATAATGGCTTGTATAACCAGTAAAGTACCAAAATAACATTCTGAGCTTGATTGAGGTATTTTTTTTTAACTATTTTTGGCTATAGAAACTTTGTCAGCCTATTTGAGTATAGTAAGAGACTTCTTCCAAAAACATATGTAGCTTTAATTGAATTAGTGTTACATTTATGAAATCTTACATGAAACTAAATAATGGAGCTGTTAGAAAACTGCAGTAGCAAGTTAGCAGAAGATCTAATAAACACTTACTACAAAGTCACATGCTGGACTTTCCAATTCCAGTTCCAGCAACTGGCTGCAGTTCTTTCAGGAAAAAAGGGATTGAAAGTCCCTGATGATGTTGTTCACGTCTTAAAGATGCCTGTGCTAAATGGGCAAATCCCACTGATGGAGAAGTAAAATTCAAAGTTCCATCTGTCTTACTTTGTGTATTGCTGCTGCTTCAAATGAAGTGCATTCTCTCACTCAGATAGTGTTTTCCTCTTTAATAATATACTTTTGGGAGAACTTTCCTCACATCTACTAGGGATCAGGGACTGATTATCTGATTTGTGGATTACATAGATCTTCCCTTTTTCCTTTTCTTTTCTATTGCCTGATTTTGCAGCTGTCTCACTCTTTACTAACATTTTCTTTGAGGGGATAATAGAGGAAAAACTAAGGGAGGTGGAGCTCAGATCAGACAGCTTTTCAACACACAAGAAGCCCTAAGAAAAAAGTTTGGTATGGGAGAGAGTTATTGATATTGGTTTGTGGGATCTTGTGTTATCCACAAATCTCATTTATTTATGCTGTTCTTGTCCCTGATAATCCTGGAAGATGGGGGCTGTTGATAGGCTATGGGGGAAAAATCTGAAAAAACCCCAAACCAAGTTTCCTGAACCACATTGCCCTCTGTTCCCTGTTCACTTCATTTCATCCGGTTTCAACATACAAAATGCTTCATGTACCTCATTCCCCACTTGTGAAACAATGGGATAAAAATCAGGCTCTATATGCAAAGATATATAGATGCCAAGGCTACAGTGCTCATTTTGGATTCTCCCATGGGCTCAAAATCGCTCAAGGTGCAACTGCAGTATTTAAATGTTCTGGCAAAGAAATGTCTGCTATAACTTTTACTCCTCTTGATACCTACGGACATGGGCATGGATCAGAATATGGTGGTGAATGGATTCTTTGCTCTTACTGTTTTGTACAACTTAAAGTTTGCCTGAAAACTTAAAAATGTATAAGTACACTGAAAAAAAAAACACCTTACGGTAAGATGAATATGATCTAATAAAATAAGTCACTATAATCATTTTAAAATTATCTAAGGATTCTTTTTTGGAGGTATAAAAATGACCCTATAAAAACTAACTTTTTTTGTTATTTTATTTTATTTCACTTTTGCTTCTTATTTTTGCTGCAATGACCAAAAACTGAAACCAGCTTTGGTAAAATTGCAACGAATACATTCTTTAGATGGATCAGCATAAATTACAGTACACATTGTGTACCGTAATATAAAACAGCCGTGCTTTAAGTCTAGAATATTAAAATATCTTTATCAATTTGTATGTCAAAATAAATGTTTTACTTACCCAAACTACTTCTGCCTTCCTGTTCATATTTTATTTAGTTTTTCCAATTACCGATTTAAAAAACAACATCAAACAACTCAGTGTATGGTATGATTTGCATTAAATTCTCCTGAACTGCAAAACCACCTGATTTTAGCTTTTTCAAAAAGCATGATTTACTATACATTAAAAACATAGTCATTCAATGTTTAGTATCACAAAATCAACACCCACAATAACAAGACAATCACTGCTACTCAATGGTCTTGGAGAGACAATGCTTTAAAATATTTACAATTCACAATAGGAAAGAGTCTGATTAATGCTTGTGTGTTTGTGTGTGTTTATCATGTTTCAACACTTCAGGAAAAAGCGCTTAAGAACCGCCAAAAAAAATGTTTAAACATTATTTTGGTTTAAGTGGACTAGCCCAAGCCATCTTTATGCCATTAAATATATATGCGCAAGGTAAACGAAAGAAAGGCTAGGGCATGATTTTGTTCAGTTGGTCTGTGCTTACATAGCCACACGAGGTGAGGAATTCTTTGTCAGGCACAGGCAGCGCGGTAGCATTGAGTACAAGGCCCTGGGGAGACTGTACTATGTGAATGGAGGTATAGTCAGGCACGGGCATTTCAGAATTTGAAGGTCCTCCCGCTATTCCGGAACTCACAGCAGTAGTGGTAAGGCTTTCTGTGGTGATGTAAACATCTTCCTGGCTAAAGCTCGGCTCCACCCGGGGCTCTGGCTCAACATGAGGGGCCATAGAAACACATTTTTTCGCATCTGCCTCGCAGAAGTAGGTATTGTCCATGATGGAATTTGCTTGGCACAGTGAGGCCACTTCTGGGTGCCCATCACACTGTGATATCCCTGCCTTATTTTTTTGCCCGGGTGAAAGAACAACACTTCCTGCAGGAGTGATGTCGCTCACCTGGGCGTAAAAGTCAATGTTTGCCAGTGAACTCTGGTTGCTCAGCTGAGTATGGACAGGTAGGCCAGCTGACTCAATTCCACTCGTAAGAAGTGGTCTTGGCTTCCTACCTTCTGAAAGGATGACACTGTTGGGTGGATGAGTTGCTGGAGTATCACAATTAGAAGGTGACCCATCATTCTTCTGATCAAGGCATAGGAGATCTGCTTTCCCTTTCATCCTCTGTGACTGAGCAAAGTCTGAAGTCCCATCACAGGAGTCACTGGCACTCAGATCAGTCTCCAGAATATCTGGCTCATAACAGCTTGTACGTCCAGAGTCATCATCTTTCGCCCCAAGGTAATTCAGGGATTTCTGGTGGTCACTGCTTAGAAGTCTGTCTGTGTCGGATTCTTCCGTCTTTTCATCAGGATCGTCAATGTCCAGCTCAATGAACTCTACCCAAGAATCATCATTGTAGAATTGAGACTTATAGCTTTCATGGCTGGCTAAGATCGTGTTTACCTCTTCTAATTTTCCTTTCTATGGAAATGAAGAAAAACAAAATACTGTGAAGAGAGGTTCAGTTTGATCATACAGTTTATCAAGTAACACTTAGCAAGGGAATAATAAAAACAAATACCAAATGAATAATGACAATAATAATAGCATCCTATGTGTCATAAAATACACAAATATATATTCAGTATCTAAAACTTCATCAGCATAAAATCTGTCTTCATTTTATAAGGCTTTATCAACGAGACTTAGAAGTGATTATTATATGCTTAATGAAGATTACAATCCATCTTTGACTTAGTAGATAAGTCGTAGGAAGCTCCCTGAAATGTAGGGAGTTTGAGTAACTTGAGGTAGTATTTGAATTCAGGTCTTCTATTCCCTATGGAATAGAATGGAGGAGCTTTGCTCTCTTTCTGAGCTTCAAAAGATTGAGAGGGGCACCAGAGGGGTCTGGGAGTTGGAGTCTATAACTGAGCCTGGTGAGGAAGGAAACCCTTAGTGATATACCTGAACCAAGTATACCAGTAAATAGCAATTGGTCCTTCTGCCATGTTGTATTCAGAAGTTAAAATGGTGGGAGCGAATGGTTGTAGTAACTGCTTTAACTTTGAGCCAGTTCACTCATACATTTATACTAATGTAATAGGGGTTTGAGAACTAAGTGGCATCTTGATGTTTGTAGTTCAGAGGGACAAGCAATAGCTCTTAGGCCTAAGAGGGAATAATACACACACTGATATATACATCAGTGCTTTCTAGTATTACTCTCTCAGAGAAAGTGGCTGCTCAGGCTTCAGAAGGAAAGCTTCACTGACATTTTATCCTGAAGGGATGGGATCCCTTCTGGGCTTTACTGTGTTTCAAAACTCTTATGTCTAACAGAAGCAACTAACTTTTCTCATGGTTGGGGCCCTACTTTTACCTGTAGGCAAAATCAGCCTTGGTTCTAACTGACGTGGCCCATTTGCATGTTTAGGGTTATCATGTGAGATTTCAGTAATGCTTCCTTGCTTTAATTTATTTGTTTTTCCAGCTCAGAACTGTGAATTGAGGTTTTCTTTCTGCCCCACTTAGGGAAGCCCTAGAGAGGATCCTTTATTAAAGTGCTATTAAGAAGCACAGAGAAGTGCATAACCGTCATTATTATGCTACGTTCTAATTTACTTTCTTACATATGATACTTGGAATGCCTTTCAAAGCTTGGAAGAATTACGCCTCTTCAATCAATAGAAAGATACAGTCTTTATCCTTTGGGCTCTGCCCCACTCCCCCAACAATGTCACGTCTGTCTCTCCCACCAGATTACCTTGTAGTTTATTTATATATATTGCGTATGTACTTGTATATGTCTGTGTTGTCTCCCCTCATAGAATGGGAGCTCTTGGAAGGTGGGCACTATTTCATATTTCCCTTTGTATTGTGCTTAATAAATGCTTATTGATTGATATCATGAACATCATAAGATTTATTTTCAAAACATTTCAGGTCACTTTTGATATTTAACTAAGTAATAAAATGAGGAATTTTACATTGGAAAGGAAAGGGAGGAAAGAAATCCCAAATTAATGTGAAGCAAGAGTCCTAGCAAGAACGCTCAGTGAAACTTTCCTTAATCTCTTCTCTGCCTCAGGACTAGCCATAGGTCAGAAGGGTTAGTGATTACCTTGAGAAGATCTGGATCTATGCCTTTAATTTTTGGAACTGGAACTGGGGGCAGTATCAGCAGCTTGATCCTTGAAAAAACAAACAAACATTTTTTTTAAATGGTCTGATTGATTTTAAAAGCGTATGTTTCATTCTTTCAAAGGGTAGAAAACATAATATTGTCTTTATTCCAGAAATGTCATCACAAAGAAGGGGAAGAAGGAAGAGAAGATGATAGAGGCAAAAGGAAGTTAAGAAAAATTATAGGAGAAGGTAGAAAGCAGTGCAGCAAAATTAACTTTTTTACTGTAGTCAGTTTCAAATCAGAGGCAGCTCTATTGTAACCTACTCCACTGATGCATACACAGTAGATTGGTGGCTAGCTGTCACTTCCTAGAATGAGATTCAAGGATAGTTTCTGGGTTAGTTATAAGAAAGCAACTGTGGGTGACCTTCTGTTCAACTAATTAATTAATTTTTTCTTTTGTTTAATTAAAAAAAAACCAATGCGATAAAAAAAAGGGATCTCATGTTTTCTTGGTTCCTAGACCAACCCTCTATCCATTAGGTCACACTGTCTACTGATATCAGTACTATTTGAGTATTTGGGTCTTTCAGTTTCAGATATTTAAAACATAACCACTGTGCACACTGTTCATCTCATTGCCCATTTCAGACTCCTTATACTTGTTTATCATATAAGTTACTGCAATAATTGAAGGTAAGAATTGATTTATGAGAACCATTTTTATTTGAGATCCTATATATGAGAATCATAGCTGGGGGTGGTACTTTAGAGGTCATTTGGTTGATCCCTTTAACTTCAGATTAGGAAAGTGAAGGTCAGAGAAGTTATATGACTTGCCCAAGATCACACAGGGAGTAGCCAAGATACCAACCAGAGTCCTATGACTCCAGATCTATGATCTTTTTCTCCCACAACCACATGATGACTCTCAGTATGATTTTCTTCCTTCCTTCCTTCCTTCCTTCCTTCCTTCCTTCCTTCCTTCCTTCCTTCCTTCCTTCCTTCCTTCCTTCCTTCCTTCCTTCCTTCCTTCCTCTCTCTCTCTCTCTCTCTCTCTCTCTCTCTCTCTCTCTGGCAATTGGGGTTAAGTGACTTGCCCAGGGTCACACAGCTAGTAAGTGTCAAGTGTTTGGTCTGAGGCTGGATTTGAACTCAGGTCTTCCTGACTTCAGGGCCGGTGCTCTATCCACTGTGCCACCTAGCTGCCCCTCTGATTCCTAATCTAGTTATCATTTTATGACACAATTTTGATTACTTGCATCTTCCTTTTCAATGCTTATCTTCTACTCCCACCTCCAAACTAGACCTGAAGAACTACAGCAGCCTTTGATATGTTCTTTGTTTTTTTGGGGGGGGTGAGGAGGGCAGGGGCAGGAGGGTCTAGCCCTGAGATCCTGAGATTAGGGAGCTCCTAGTGAGAATGTTTTTTCTATCAAAGCAAGTCAACAATGATTCTGCAGTTTATCATCTTAGAAAGTTGCCTGGGGGTCAGCTAGGTGATGGTGGATAGAGCACCCACCCTAGAGTCAGGAGGACCTGAGCTCAAATTTGACCTCAGACACTTACTAGCTGTGTGACCCTGGGCAAGTCATTTAACCCTGATTGTCAAAAGAAAGAAAGAAAGAAAAAGGAATGAAGGAAAGAATGAAGGAAGAAAAAAGGGGAAAAAGGAAAGTTGCCTGGATACTGAGAATTTAAGAGACTTGTCTAAAGTTACAGACCTAGTATGAGTAAGAGGCAGGACTTGAACCTAGGTCTTTTTGCTCCTAGATCAGTCCTCTATACATTAGGTTAGGGATTTTTAACCTGGTATCCATAAACTTTTAAAAACTTTTTTTATAGTGGTATTTCAATATAATTGGCTTCCTTTATAATCTGTATATTTTATCTTATGCATTTAAAAACATAATTTTGGGAAGGGGTCCATGGGTTTCACTAGGCCACCAAAGGGTTCCATGACATAAAAAAGATGAAGAATCTAAATTCTAGGACATGCTGCCCCCTGACAGAGTTGTTTTATGGGTTCACATAAAAGGTATGGAAAGTAACTCTCCCTATCTTGGCAGTAGGAATAACTGATCAAATACTGTGACTATTCCAGGGCTTGGCTGTAGTTTGAAGACATCAGTGTGAATAGCTTCAATGAAAAAGTCGTTTTCAGAATGTTCTCACCTGCCTTTTCTGGGTGGTCCTTGTTTGCTTTGAGTCAAGCCTCTAATGTGCTGACTCAGCAGGTTAACCACCAACTTTCGGATGGGAATAAGATGCAGAAGCATGTCTTGTAGTGTCCTGTTGATTCTGTATCCCTCAAAGACTATTTCTTTCATTTGATTTCTTTCCCCAAATATAGAAATATAGAGTAACAACATAACCAAATATCCTAGAACAGCTAGTGATGCTACATAATAGTAATGCTAGGAAAGCTAGTAATGTTATGTAATGCCAGAAAAGAGCCTTAGACTGAGAGACAAAATGCCTGGGTTCAACTCCAGGCTCTGTCTCTTCTCAGGTGTGTGACACTGGGCAAGTTTCTTCTTCTCTTGATCCCTCATCTGTGAAATGCACTATCTGCCTGCCAGAGTCATGGTGTGAGAAGTGCATACTATGAACCATAATGCTTTACAGAAATGTGATTCATGGTTATCATTGTTATTTTTATGAGGATGATGCTAATCAACTGCTACTGGTTAGGCATGTGCTACGAGAGGGTTTTCCATCAGTGATTCTTGCTGATCTATCTATTTTTCTCTTTTTTAATGGGTCTCTGAAACCTTTGAGACTAATGGCACATGTTTGCAAGATGGATGGCCTGGGACCAGGGGTATTGCACATGGCTATGGAATGGATTAGAGATCATTGTTTTGGAACCTGTGATACTGGCTCAGAAACATATACCAATGACGAAAACTGGCCACAACATAAAGAGTAATTGAAGAGCTTAGCTATCTAATCTACAGTTGTAGATAATAAAAGAAAATCACTTGGACACAGCATGGAAAAGTAATTTTTTGCTCACATTTTAACATGTTCCTGGTGATCTGGAAATTTGCAAAATTTTAAACAAAATAATGAAACTACTTCATCTTTGAAGTACATGTAGTAGTAGTAATAGTAGTAGTAGTAGTAGTAGAAGAAGAACAATGATGTGGGTATACTGTAAAGGTCTGACTATCCAACTTTGTTATCCGGTCCTCTTACCCCTCTTCCAAATGCTCTACTACTTTCTGCTAGCATGTTGGAAATGTTGAGTATGGACAATATCATCTCTTTACTTATACAAAAGACCAATTTATCCAATAAAGATAATTTTTAAATAAAAAATTTTAAACAAATAAGGAACATATTTAAATGTTTTCCACTCAGATTTTTTCCTATACATCTAGGGGATGGCATATAATAATGATGATAACAATTATTATTATCACTGGATTTTAGATGTAGATACAGAAGGGAAATTTTTTTTCTATGAATTTGCCATTTCAAATTTTTCTTGGGGCAAAGGGATTACTGTTTTGACTGAGGGGGCAATCACTTGGTTTGTGTGGTTTTCCCACAGGCAAGACATTGCACTGAATGAATTTTTAAGTTTTTGTAAAGCAGTCTTTATGATTCTACGTAACTCAACTCAACTAAAAATCTATTTAGATGATTATTATGGTCAGAGCACTTTGTTGAGCATTGGATAGGGAACAGATTGGTAGAAATACTGCATTATTTGAAGTTTTCTTTTAAGGGTCAAAATATGTAAAATCTAGATATTTTCTGGTACACAATATCTACTACTTCCTATTTCTATTGGAACATGGCAATTAGAGGACATGTTTTCTGTATGTGGGGACCCTGTTAATACTGAAGATGTGGGAGACAAAAAATGTGTTGGTTTTTTTTTACAAGACATGAAAGTTAAAAAAAACACTTTAATATGCTTGGTTAATTTTAGTACAGAGGAAGTTTGGGACCCAATAATTATAGTTTTAAAAAGTGATCAGAAAGGTAGTTTCTTGGTAAAAGATTCCATTTCCCCCTCACAACTCTAAGATAAAGTTTACTGAATTTCTTTAACATTATTTAGTTAAGAGGATCCTATTCTTTCTTTCTACTTAATGTTGGCTGGTTAATTCCTGACAAATTAAATAATGTACACCATAATTCACTTGGCTTTTACAATGTTTCCTGATGATCTGTGGCTAAGAGTAAATTACCTTAGCTATGGTACTTGAATGTAATGGGACATCACTGTGGTATACAAAAAACAATGAATATAAAGAATATAGAGAAGAATAAAAAGACTTAAATGATCTGGTGCAACTTGAAAAAAGCAGAGCCAGGAAAACAATATATACAATGGCTCTGACAACATGATTGGAAAGAATAACAAAACAATCAAAACTGAAATCTGTGTGACTATAATGATTACACTTGACCTGAAGAAGAAATATAAGAATATACCTCTCTCCTTTGCAGAGATAAAGGATCATGGGTGTGACAGCGCATGTTAAAATATTAGATTCAACTGAAATATTGGTTAGTTTTACTGAATTTATTTTTTCTTCTTTGTTAGAAAGGAAGACTTTCTGGGTAGGGGAGGAAGATGTAATATATTGAAAAATTCACGTGGTATGAAGACGAAAGACATCAATAAAACAACTTTTAAAACACTGAATCATCTTACTTTATAGTAAGCAATGTGCTCCATATAAGTTAGCTTTGTCTCAACTGTCTCATCAACTATACACACTGAAGTATTCAAATGGTACATAATTTGGCTTTTACCTAAAATTATTTAAAATTGTTTATATTACTTCAAAGTGCCCACGTGTAACTAAAAACCAAACAGGTTTGTATTTCCCCCCCCAAGCATCTTGAAAGTGTTACCAACCTCCTATATTATAGGTATCCTTAGATACAGGAAATGGAAATGTTCCTGAAAAGTTGTATGTTAAGTGAAACTTTGTATAGTCCAACTTATTTTTTTTCCAGTGAATTACATCACAAAATCAAAGATACATCCCCAAGGAAAGTATCATATCATGTACTAAGCTGAAAAATCTTGGCATGCTAGAGACTATATAGTCTGGCAGTACTTTCTTTGCCTTCTGGGAATTACAGACTCTAGCTGTGATTCACTTTAAGAAAGCTCAGAAGCTGTACTTTCTCTTTAAAAACAACATCAGTGACAACAACCACCACAAAACACAGAATAAACCAAACTCAAAACAGAACTCTTTGTAGCACGGTGGAAAAGGAATTCATGCTTATAGCTTTAGCCAGCTCTACCTAGGGCTGGTCAGGGTTTGAATATTGGACCTTATTCTTGTGCCAGCAGTGGCAGCAATATAGCAATACATGTAACCCCCCAAATGCAAAGCTCTTGGTGATGTCTAACAATCTTCGATTCTGCTTTATACCCTTTGTAATAAACGTTCACATTCTATACTGAGTTACTCATACCAAGAGATATTCAGGCCATGATCATAAAATCTTAATCCTAAAAGAGACCTTAGAGATCACTAGTTCAATGCCTTCATTTTACAGATGCCAAAAATGAGGCCTGTAAAAGTTAAGTGACTTCTTCAAGGTCACACAGCAGTGGCAAAGGAGGAAGACGAACTCAAGTTTCTCTGATCTATCCCAGTGCATTTTCTACCTCTCTAAGATTTTGTCCTGGATACATAAAGGAGAATGTAAAGAGAATGTATATGATTGTGACAATGAAAACAGTTTAAGTCCAGACCCCATTTTACCTGAAATATCAAGAATATGAAGGCTAAAAAGTTTATTTTTTAAAATTAGTTTGATGCCTGCCTTATATCTCTTCTTTACTCCATATGTATTGAAACACAAGGTCAGACCAGGCAAGAACTCATTGACAGCCTGGTGGCTTATCTGGACAGTCATACCTTTACAGGATATATACCCATGACTCTGCAGTATAGTTTCATTATTTTGTTTGAACAAGAATGAACATTTGAAAGAAGAGTAAAGGACCTGAAGCTAAGAAATGAGCAGATAAGATTTCCGAAATGACTTTATCAGGTAGGGACAAACCAGTGTGTGTAGACACATACATTCTAGGCATATAATATATAATTCTTAAAGAATCTGTAGCCACACTTTATGGAGTCTACACCAGCAAACTACCAATGGTATATGGAGCAGGCTAAACTTGTCATGAATATGAAACTAAGCATAAAGTCACTGGGTTTTGTTTTCCATTTTCACTCACAATTTCTGGGGAAACCTATTAAGAAATATAAAGGGGATAAGCAACGGAAATCTAATAGCTCCACTGGCCAAACCCCCCCTCCCCCCCAAAGCCCAACACCTTTTAAAGAAGTGTGTTTCAAACCTACCTTTGTTGTTTAGAAAGTATGAATACAAATAACACCACTGTCAGCCCAAATATTCCAAAGATAATAATCAAGAACCATGGAAACGGGAAATCTGAAATGCAAAATAAAAATTCACTCACACAAAGGACTGAGTCTTTGAAGGGAAATTTAGACTTCATGCTTTCTTTCTGGTGCTGAGTGTTTCCCAGTTGTCATTCACCTAGTAAAGTCAAGAGCCATTTTATCGGGAAACTAAGTGAGACCACGAACCATAAGAGTGCCTCTGCTCACTGAATAATAATAATACCTAACATTTCTATAGTGCTTTCTATGTACCAGGCACTGCTAAGCACTTTACAATTATTATCTCACTTGATCCTCAAAACAACCCCGTAAGGTAGCTGCTATTATGATCCATATTTTACAGATGAGGAAACAGGCAACAGGTTAAGGGCCTTGCCCAAGGTCACACAGCTAGTAACTATCTGAGGCAGGATTTGAATTTAGGTCTTCTTGACTCTAGGCCTAGCAGTCTCTCCACTGCACCACTTAGCAGCCCATGTCCTCAAAAGGACTTCAAGGTTTACTCATCTGGCACAAAAATAATTGTGTTCCTTTACAAAAATACGTTACTGAAGTGATTTCATAGATTGCTGGCATTTGTTTTTCAATACTTTGGCCCATGTGGATATGTATGGATATGTCATTAAGGCAGAGATTCTCAAAAAATTTTTTTTTTTTTGGTGAGGCAATCAGGGTCAAGTGGCTTGCCCAGGGTCACACAGCTAGTAAATGTCAAGTGTCTGAGGCCGGATTTGAACTTAGGTGCTCCTAACTCCAAGGCCGGAGACCTAGCTACCCCTGACTGCCAATAATTTTTAAGAGTGCAAAGAGGTCCATCGACCAAAAAGTTTGAGAACTATTGATGTATATTAGTGAAATCCATGCCTAGTCTCTATCTCTACACCGGATTAATACTTGAATTCTTCAAGAACTAGACATTTTGTTGGTTTGTGTGTTTTCTCCATTGTGATACTTTGTGACTTGGTAAATGGTCTTTGGAAGTTGTGGCAGAAAAACTCACCACCCTCTGGATCAGTATTTTCAAGCTTACACGTCTTCTGAAAACAGATATACAGTCTATAGCTCCCAGTTACTAGTGACTTTGTCCCTGAGATTATCTTCTATCTATTCTGTTTATATGTATGTGTGTGTGTATATATATGTCATATACACACATATATGTATGAATTATTTGTATGTACCTAGTTATTTATGTGTTGTCTCCTCCATTAGAATACAAGCTCCTTGAGGGCAGGGACTGTTTTTACCTTTGTGCCCCTAGAGCTTAGCCCAGTGCCTAGAACACAGTAGCTATTTAATAGATGTTTGACTGACTGTATTCAAAGCCCTTCCTACTTGGTAAAGTCTACCAGAGTTGGTACTCTTCTAGCATAGCCTTGAAAATATTGAGTCACCTCCTATAATGGGGCTTTGGAGGACTATAAATACTATATATGGGATAAAATCCTATTATGTATAGTATCAAATACTACTCAAAGTAAATGGACCATAGGCTGGGGTTTAGAATCAGTTTTGTTATACAGATTTTTCACCTTAATGGCATTTTGGAAATAGGATTCCACTTGCATATCACATATAAAAGTAGGCAGTTAACTTCTCTGTAGTTTGCAGTATGTCAATTGAAATGTTTGCTAAATGTCAACATTATCCTGAACACATTCCAAGTAGCTAAAAACCAATCTCATTTTTAAAGATCTTTAAAGATGGAAACTTCATGACCTCTCTTAAAAGCTAATTAACAATAATAGCTAGCATTTATACAGAGCTTTAAGGGTTACAATTGTTTTTATAAATATTAACTGACTTGTATAACTATTTAATGCCATTAAGAAATTCTTCCTTTAATATATAAATAGGGTAAATCCTTTATGCTTCTAGTTAACCTATACCTCTTTAGTCCACCATGGGAACAGGCAATAGTTTATGGCTTTTTTTTGGAGTGATGACTAGCCAATGCTTGACATTTAAAGAACCACAAAAAATGCCCCTGCTCTAGAATATTGTCTCACTTGTCAACAGCATATTACTTAACCTGGTTAGTCTTCACAGAGTCACTTTAATAGCTCAGTGCTTCTCTCTTTTCCCTTCCCTCCTCCCCATGCCTTCTCCATCCTATTATACACTGGAGAAAAATATTACATCTCTGTTGACTATAGGAGTTCCAGAGGCTCTGATCTACTTAGAATCCAATGAATATTCTATGGAGCATTTTTTAAAAGGCAAAACTCAATAATCACCTCTGGACACAATGATCACTATTTAGCCTCATGACTTCAATTGCCAAGTAGGCAGCATGAGTATGGTTTCCTTATTTTATTTCAATGGGTGAGGAAACTGATGCTCAAAAAAGCTAAATGACATGCTTAAGTTCCCATGTCTAGTAAATGGCAGATCTAGGATCCAAATCTAGACCCTCTGACTTCAAATCTAATTTCTTAAAAAAGGATACCACATTGCCTCAAATCACCCTGGAGTCCTCTTTTCTCTTCTGAAAACAAGTCCAGCCTTTTAGTCTTTATCTTTTCCTTATAAGCTTTTTTTTTTTTGGGGGGGTTAGGCAATTGGGGTTAAGTGACTTGCCCATGGTCACACAGCTAGTAAGTATCAAGTGTTTGGTCTGAGGCCAAATTTGAACTCAGGGCCTCCTGACTGCAGGGCCAGTGCTCTATCCACTGCGCCACATAGCTGTTCCCTCCTTATACGCTTTTAAGTGCTGCCCTTTGCTCATTTTTGTGATTCTCCTATGACTTCTCTCTCTAAATGCTTCACAATTTTTTTAGAACTGGAGCTCAGAATTGGCCATAGTATTTAAATAAGAGTCTGAACAAAGTTGAGAAAAATAGGGCAACGATGATTCCTTCATGCTATATTCCTGTTAATTCATTTGGCCGATACTTCTGACTCTGGAATCAAAAGGTATCTGAAATGGATAAATATTTCTCATTCTATCCCAATACTGGGCTAATCAGAAATTAGAGGAAAAGCCATATCGGTGACCTTAAGCTGAGAAATCTTGGAGAGACATTATCTGATCCTCATAATCAACTATCCATAAAGATCTAGAACTTAATCTCTTCTCCTGGTCTTTGGATAGTCATGAAGAAAATAATCTGGAAGTCAATTTCCCTTTCTTTTTTCACCTAAGGAGGTCTATCTTGAACAGAAAAGAAAGGGAGAAGATTTCCACCTTGCAATCTGGGTCCTAATGTGTAACAAAGAGTCTTTGGATACCCATGAATGCAATAATCTAGAAGCCTATTCCCCTTCCTTTTCACTTAAGGAGGTCTGCCTTGAAGAAAAAGGAGAGACAATTTCCATCCTTGCAATATGGGTCCTAATGTGTCTCCGCTCTTCGTAAACAGAGAAATGAGTAGTATGTACAGGCAAGTGCTATTTTGGTTTTCATTACCATTGATTTTCTCTTCACAATCATTTATAAAAGGGCTCATCTGGGGAAATGTTACATAAAGTATTTCACTGAACTCCCCAAATTTATCCGAGGTACGTTGTCTGGATCTGACTCGTATTTCATATTCTCTATCCAACCTCAAGGAATACACTGGAACAGATGTGGTGCGTACGAGTTCCATCTACAAAGACAAAAACATCAACAATTTTCTGGTTAAGAAAAAAGCTGGGAGGGCCCAACAAATGATGGGACACCCTAGAAGCTTCTTAGAAAAAAATGTTATGGATAATCATGCCATGGTATTTGAGTACATGGTACACAGTGGAGTACATGGTACTTGTACTCTAGAAAAGTTTTGAGCAGGCAACACATTTGTCTTAAGTTCCATATATGATTATACTGGAATTACCTTACTAAATTATTAATACTGTTTCTAATTAATGAGAATAACTTGTTACTTAAGAAGATCCCATGATGAGGCTTTTGCTAAAGCAAAGAATCCTCCTGGAAGGTATGGCTCTTGTGTAAGCTCCAGCTTCTATATGTCAGGTTTTCTGAAAGCACAGGTAGACCTCAATCTGAGTTTTTGATGTATCAGGTAAGATGATCACTGGATGTCTATTAGCATTAGTAGAGCACTGGAAAAGATTCTTTTCCAGACGCTGCCCTTTGAAGTATGTCTGAATGGGGCAATTAAAGAGGGAACAGATAAGACCATATAAAACAGAAACATATGCCCATGTGTAAAAGCCACACCAACATACAGAGTTTATGACTGCACAGGGTACATTGAGAATCAAGGAAATTACAAAGAACCCTGAACCACAGACCTAGAAAGGACTTTCAGATGAGGTCACTTAATTGTTTAACTTGTTAAAGAGCTCTCTTGGGTGGGGTAATTTACAAACATTTGAATTGAAAAAACAAAACATGTCAATAAAACTTAAAAAAGGAAAAAAGAAATCCTCTGGTCCTTCTCAATTCCATTCACTAAGAGCTCACTAAAGGCTTCTTGTTTCTCCGAAGGCTTAAAGCTACCTGGAAAGACAATTCCACACTATAAAAATATTTAGAAGAAAGTCTCTGGTTTCCCTTAGTAAGGTATATAGCCCTCAAAGTCAGCATTTTCCCATCATCTCTTTGAAGTAAGGGTGATATTATGCTGGTTGGACTAGGAAGATGGTCTTTTTAAAAGATATTGCTCCTCAAGAGGCAGAACAAACCAGGGATGATTTCTCCCGAAGTCAAATATCCAAAGCAGATATTCAATATGTGCTTTTCATATATTTGTGGGCAGAACACTATGTGCCTGTTTATAGAAAATGTGGGGCACTCAATTTTTCAACACCATGGATTTTTCACATAAATAAAATTTCCATAATTTGTTTTATTAAGTCAAAAGTTGGACTGAGAGACTTCTAAAACACATTTCCCTTTCACCTCAGAATGTTTCCACCTGAAAAGTATTTATTTTTCTCGTATTTACAGGGAGTGGCTTGACTTCTTTTAATTCAATCAAATTCAATTCAACAAACATTTTAAAGTGCCTACCTACTATGTGCAAGGCACTACTCTAGAGGCTGGGAATACAAAGACAGGAAAAAAAAAGGATCCCTATCCACAAAGACTTTTCTCATTCTATATACTTCAATATATGTAATAAATATATCCCTGAATAGTTTTCTGGTAAGCCAAAATTACATGTATCAAACCCACTATCTTTTGAGTTGCAATTTTTAAAAATATGTTTCTAGCCTTGGAACCTTGAGTATTGTTTTTGCTGTGATTACCCACGATTGATTCTTTTTTTTTTTAAACCACTATAACCCTTTTGAGATTTCACTAGTAAGAATACTGCCATCTTTCCTCATTTCCCCTCTACCCAACACTTTTTTTCCTCCTTGTTCCTTCCTCTTTTCCTTTTGTATTTTGTCTTTCTCTTTCCAGTTAGCTCCCCACTACTGGCTTCTATTTTCTTTGGATGTAATCTATTTCCTTTTATACATCCACTCCCATGCATTCTGCTGTTTCCTACTTTTTCCTGCCCTTCAGCTTAATTTTTTCCAGACATAAAACAATCCAAACCCACCTACTGGTTTAGATGCAGAGATAGGCAGGAGAGAAGTGTCAAACTGTATCAAATGATTCTATGAATATCTTCTGTCCAGTGCTGTAAAAGCCACATTCATTAGTGACCAAGCTCTCAGAAGAAGTGGGTTCTTTTGCTAATGCTGCCCTGTATAAGTAAACCCTGGGCAAGTCTGTTAACTGCTCTGAGCTTCAATTTCCTCATCTGTAAAAAAGAGAGTAAAATTACTTGCCCTACATATGTCACGGAGTTGATGTGACGTAAGTAAACTACAAAATGCTATCTATATGATTGTGATACATTTTTAACTGTATTTAAACATTTCAAATATTTATATTATTTTTAGCAGGCATTATAGCACAAAGAATAACTACAAGGTCACTAACATAATCTCCAAATAAGTTTTTAAAAATGCATTATTTTATTTTATTTTTAAAAGCCATTGGGGTTAAGTGATTTGCCCAGGGTCACACAGCTAGTGTCAAGAGTCTGAGGCATATTTGAACTCAGGTTCTCCTGACTCCAGGGTCAGTGCTGTATCCACTGTGCCATCTAGCTGCCCAAAATGCATTCTTTTAAAAGCAGTGTTCCCAGGCTCATCATTGTAACAATGACATTTATAAAGTTTTAAAATTTGTAAAGTGCTTTACAAACATATTGTTGTTGTGCAGTTATTTTTCAGTCATGTCTGACTCTTCATGACCCTATTTTTTATTTTCTTGGCAAAAATACTGGAGTGGTTTGCTATTTCCTTCTCCAGTTTATTTTATAGATGAGGAAACTGAGGCAAATATGGGTAAGTGACTTGACCAAGGTCATACATCTAGTATATTATCTGAGGAGGCCTGGCCCTCTATCCCCTGAACTACCTAGCTTACAAACATAACCTTATACTAATCCTGTGAGATGGTTACCTTCCCTCCTTCATACATGAGGAAACAGAGAAACCAGAAGTCTGAGAGAGACTAACTGATTTCCCCAGGATCCAAATCAGAGGTGATATGTGAACCCAGGGCTTCCTGACTCCAAGTCCAGTATTCTACTCATTGAGCCATACTTCCTGTAAAATGGTGGCTCCTAAGTCACTCTTAGCAAGAGTCTTGAAGCTTTTCCTGTCTCTGCTTACTTAATCCCCCTCTCTTCACTATTATACTCTTGTTCATGTTCTGATATAGCATTTAACACATCTTTCTGTCACAGCTAGAGTTGATAGCTTAATCAAAATCAGGGAAATCTAAAAAACAAAAGCCAGGAGGGCAGCATTGTAATACTTTGAAAGCTTCTCACAGTCCACATTTCTGCCAGTGACGGAGCTGGCACAGTTACCAGTGGTTCATTAGAGTGGACAGTACCCAGTGCCTCAAAATTCTGAGGGAGATACAATGCCAGAAAGCTGGATATACTCTGAAGATGGGCCAGAAACAACTTGGCTAGGTTTGGCCTGCGGTTAGGCTGCTTTGGAATTAGACAGACACTGAAATAAGCATGATTATCTTGTTTTTCTTCTTGTTCTGCACCATGTGGAGTTTATCTAAGTGCTGAGTTCCCACGGACTTGGCAATGAGAGCCTTTGTGGGGGTTCGGAATGAGACAGGCAACCAATTCTATATTTGCTCACACAAGGACCCTTTTGCCTGGTTATCCCTCCCATAGGAACATATCTTTCTGAAATGGGTCGAAGAGGATGTGCTTCCTCTGGGATACCCCTCCTAGAACTTGTATTAGTGGCTTCTCAACAGCTGTAATTCTGTGCATGGGAGACAACTGGTGCTCCATCCTTCCCCGTGTTTAGGCACATTCCCAAACAGAGCTGCTTGGTCAGAGTCTGCAACGGGATACTTCAGCAGCATATAGAAGTGGGGGTTGGGGGAAATCAGCTTTTTCTCTTTCCTCCTCGTCTTTAATGTAAACTCACAGACAGCTTCCCTCTGCTCCCTCACAGAACCACAACAGTGTCTCATTTATTAGTTCAGCTTTTGGCGACATAAACGAAAAAATAAAAAGTCTCATTTACTCAGAGTTTTAGAGCCAGGATTCCCAGCCTGGAGGACCCCTACAATCCTCTGCCCCACCCCTGGGGTATAAGAGGCTTGTTAAGGAGATAGGGGGAATAATTAGCAAATAAGTATAGTATGCCGTTTAACTTAATTAACCTATCCTATTTCTTATGCACAAATGCATGCAAACTCTGGACTCTCTCTTCTTTCTTATTGAATGGGGAGTATGGATAGGTTTACTAAAAGCCAAGTAGCATGGGGATCAAGAAGGTTTGGGAACTTCTGGTCCAGGGCCCAGTAGAATTGAAGCCAAGTAAAAGGCAGATATGGCACTAGCCTTAAAGCTAAGGATCCAGATAAAAGGAATAGTCTTAGCATCATGGATTTTGAGGCAGAAGGTACATGAAAGGTCATTTATTTCAACCCCCTCTTTTTCCAGAGGAGAAAACTCAGGCCCAGATAGGGCCAAAATTCCACAGGTAACAAGTAGCAAAGCTAAGCCTTGAACCTGGCTCTTCTGACTTCAACTCCAGAACTCTTGCCATGGCATCTTCTTGCCCCTCCAGAGGATAGTCTTCCCTCTCTTTCTCCCATCAGGAACCAGAATGTTACGAGAACAGAATGTTATTAGAAAGAGAAGTCTGAAGTGAAAGGCATTGAAGCCAAAGCATTTATACTGAGGTATCATATTCACATCTTACCTTTTTCCATTGGGTGTCATTTATTTCTTTGTACTGAAGCTCATACTCCAAGAGGATCCATCCTTTCTGAACATCTGCATTGGGAGGTGGCCCCCATCTCACCTGGATGTCGGCATGGATCCCTGTTAGGCTGGTGTTCAGCAAAGTCCAGTTGAGGCCAATGGGTGGATCTGGTTGTACTGTTCATTTCAACAGTGTGTTAATGAATATGTACAGAAATACCACTTGTATTAACTGTATTATTAATTAATTATTGTATTAATATAGTATTTACTTCTGATGAACTCTAAGCATTTTTTAAAACTCTAAGCATTTCTTATAGTTTCATTGTATACTTGCTGAATTCTTTCAATATTCTCATTCAAAAAATATTTTTATTTATTGATGGCCTGCTCTCTATTTTGATTTTATTGCTGTGTAGACCATTCACAGAAACTTTCATTTTGAGTTTAAAAACTGATCTGAAACTTTTTGGAAGATTGGAGAAAGCATCTTGTATCTATAATCCTGGCTTTTTCTTTTGCTTGATGACAGTCAGACTTTGAAGCTTGTTGAGGAATTCTGTTTTCATTTAAAATATTATAAAAATAAGAGAAAGCAAGACCTGCAATACCTTAACAGTTTGCCAGATCTAGAACCGAGACCAAATAAAACTCTTATCTTCAGATATAATGAGAGTATGGTGGTCATGGTGATTTTCTCTCAGAATAATGTGTAGGAAATTAAACTGATCTCTGAAAGACAGAAGATGCAATATCTTCCAACTTCAGTACTTAACCTACTATCTGTGTAACTGGAGAATTGGTACTTGTGCACCTGTACATCTTCAGCTCTGTTTTTCTGTAGTACCCTGCCTAGGCCATAACACAGGTGTCAGTAGCTTTCTTAGTGCTCCCCATCAGCCCTTTTCCATGCCATTTTCTATGTCCATGAATGTGTTGGCTAGAAATACAAGACTAAAGGCACCTCACTGTTACTAAAAGACAGATAAAGTTCGAATTGTCTTAATTTTATTTTAGACTGCCATAGTATTGCAAATGGAAGATTGTTCTATTTCAGAGGGAATTTAATCCCTATTTTTGGGACCAGCTTTAATAAAGACCAAAAATCTCCTGATTTAACTGGATTCAGAGATTCAAATAGACAGTGCCTATTTGTTGCTGCTAAACGGTTTCCTTGTGCTCAGTGCTAAAACATTCCTTATTCCACAGCAGTGTGGAACAGATATGAAGACTCAAGTTTACAATTGTGATTAAAAATTACCCTGCTTCTAGCATATAATCCCAGTCCTCATTCCTATTTATTAAGCATCACACTACCCAGAAACACACTAGGAAATGTGAAGCTGAATGAAACCAGTGCTTTTCATTTAGATCTTTACCAAATGTATCATATATAATAGTATCGCCTTTTTCTAGCTTTCGGTCAAATAAATTTTTACATAAATTTAAAAAAAAAAAGAGAAATAGCAGCTGTGATGTATAAGCCAGTCCACAGCAAATATGACTTTTCGTAGAGAGCCTGATCATTGGCATTAAAAAAAAAGATTCTCTGGACCTTAGTCCTCAGTATTAGGGGCTTTGAAAATAACAATTTGTTGATTGACAATAATATTTGCCCTTTAAAAAAATCTGTTATTACAGTTTCATCCGTGGAATTAACAGTAAGAAGGATGCATTACCACCTGCCATGTAGCTGCACCCTATGAACCACTGGATTGTTCCATATGACCTGCCGCTGAAACCTCTTCTCTAAGTAGTCTCCCTCTTTTAGAATATGAGCTCTGTGAAAGCAGGGACTGTCTTGCTTTTCTATGTGTATCACCAGCTTTTAGCATAGTGCTTTACAAACAGTAAGCACTTAATAAATGCTTTTTCATTTGTTCATTAGTTCATTTATAAACCCATAGAAAACAAAGCAACTTGTATTGGCAGGATGCATCAGAGAGAAGATAATGACATGTTGTCAGGGGCCTTTATTGCCTGACTAGGGGTCAAAGGAGAAAGTCCTTAACTGTGACTTTCTCTTTCATTTGTTTAAGAATAGGCCTCTCTGTTGTGCTGTAATGAAGGCTGCAGTCTGTTATTTTGCACTCTTCCATGACAGCAATGCACTAGTAACTGTACTTTTTGAGGACAGAAGGCCAGAATCCATTGGCTATATTTTGCATGTTAAACTCCTATTCTATGTCTCCTCAGCTGGTGTCACAGACTGCTTCCTCATCTGTAAAATAAGGGGTTTTGAGGAAATGGTTTCCAAGATCCTTTCCAGTTCTAAATCCTAGGATATCATGATACAAGGGTGTGAGATGTTCAGTACAAGGGAATTTCCCAGATAACTGAAGTGTGCCCTTGAAACCCCTCCCATTAAAAAAATTAACCAATTTCAACAAAAATCTTTCCAAACCATATTATCTACTTTCCTGCCTCTCCAGAGGCTATTGACCACAATATAACTTTCTTTCTTGATGATTTAGAGTTACTATTCCTAACATAAATTGATGCTAGGACATAGCCTCATTCTCCTTTCATCAATAAAATGGGGAGGATGAGGTAGATGTTCTCTATGGTTTCTTCTACATCTGACCACCTATGACTCTACTGTGCAGGAAATAGTGATACTTTTAAGTCCTGTTTGCCCCCGCAACAAATTATCCCTAGACGATTATATTTTTTTGAATTGTTTTGTATGACTTTTTTTTTTTTTTGTCAAGGCCTAACTGCTTGATATTAGCTTCTTCTTGTTTTCTTTGTAGTGGTCATCAATCTGCTGGGCTTAGGAATCTAATCACAATCGTTAAAATCTTGTTCAAACTGTTAGTGGAGTTGTAAACTGGTTTAACCATTTCGGAGAGCAATTTGGAACTATGCCCAAAGGGCTATAAAACTGCATGCCCTTTGACCCAGCAATAGCACTTCTAGGTCTGTATCCCAAAGACATCAAAGAAAAAGGAAAAGGAGACATATTCACAAAAAATATCTCTATAGCAGCTACTTTTATGATGGCAAAGAATTGGAAATTTATGGGATGCCCATCAATTGGGGAATGGCTGAACAAGTTGTGGTATATGACTGTGATGGAATACTACTATGCTATAAGATACAATGAGCAGGATGCTGGGAAGACTTACATGAACTCTTGCAAAGTGGTGAGCAAAACTGGAGAAGGGTACACAGTGACAGCAATAGTGTATGATGATCAGCTGTGAATTATTTAGCTATTCTAAGCAATACATTGATCAAAGACAATTTTGAAGGATTTATGATGAAAAATGCTATTGACCTTAAGTTAAAGAACTGATAGAGTTTGAATGCAGATTGAAGCGTACTTTTTTTTTTTTTTTGCTTTTTGGTGAGGCAGTTGGGCTTAAGTGACTTGCCCAGAGTCACACAGCTAGTAAGTGTCATATGTCTGAGGCTGGATTTGAACTGAGGTCCTCTTGACTCCAGGGCCGGTGCTCTATCCACTGCACCACCTAGCTGCCCCCAAAGCATACTTTTTAAACTTTATTTTTCTTCATTTTTCTTTTAGTCTGTTTTCTTTTGCAACATGGCTAATACAAAAATGTTTTGCATGATACACTTGTATAATCTATATCAAATTGCCTGCCTTCTCAGTGAGGGGGGAGGGGAAGGGGAAGGGAGAAAATTTGGAACTCAAAATAAAAGAAAAAGAATGTTGAAATTTTATTTACATGTATTTAAGAAAAATACCAAAAAAAGAAAAAAATGAAATAACGTAAACTAAGGGCAACCCTCCCCTTCCCCCCCGTTTGCCAACTGGAAGCTTTTCTGTAAAGTGCATGAACCTCAGTGCATACATTTTGAAATCTACTAGGGCTGTTAAGAAGCCCCCTTCCTCCTTTTTCTCCCTTTCCCCAGAATACTTGTGGTTACTAGATAAGTGAATGCCAGATAATAATAATAATATCTGGCATTTCCATAATGCTTCAATGTTTGCAAAACACTTTACATATGTTAACTCATTTGATTCTCACAACAACCCTGGGAGATAAATCAGATATTTTAAAAAAAACAACTTTTTTTTTTTTTGCTTATGCCATGCCAAATAATCATCTTGATTTAGTTTTTTCACTCAGTTGGCCAAAAGGACTGATTGTTTTAGTATTGTGTAAACATGACTTTAAACTCATTTTGGCTCTTCACCAAATGAGAACATAAAACTTTGGAATGGCTATGTGATGTTGTCCATACTAAACAAAATCTAGCCTTTTGTTCCATCTTCCATTAAAACAGTACAATAACCAATGCATTTCAGTTGATATAGATTACACTATAAGAGCAATGAAGGCTTGGGGACTTCAAGAGTCCATCTGCTCTATCTCCTTGCTACTATCTCTTTAAGGAAAGATTCTATGGCCTTCTCCATTCCTATTCCATGTAAGGACTCTAAGCCCCTCCTATTCCCTACCTTAACTCCCCTTCCTCTTGCCCTCTCATTAGGTGCTGGCTGCCAATTCTGCAAAATAGCTCTCCACGTGTTTATAAAGTATTATTGTTTTTTCTTAGTCACTTCCATGGGACATTTCTATTTAATCATTTAATCATAATCATTTGCAAGGCTCCAGGTCAGTGTCAAACCACGTCAAGCAAAACACAAACCTGAGATTTACCTATTTCATCCACAGTGAAACATCTTTTCTCCAACTCATGACTAATATTTCTTAGCTTGATACAATAGGGTGTCCAAATGGAGGTATAGGATGAATTGAAATAACAGCTGTTTTCTCCAGCAGAGACATAATCAGGGCATTCTTTCCACTCTTCGTCAATCCTGAAATGAAGAGAATAAAGGGTGAATTGTTTCAGCAGTCATGTTATGGCTGAAGTGGAAGTGGGATGTATCATAGGTCAGATTAAACAGTGCCCATTCTAACTGAAATGACATATGGTGAACTGCTCTAAGACTGCTGGTTCGAGTGATGTCTGGATCTATGGATCACAAAGTCAGAGTCAGAAGGGACTTTCAGAACTTACTTCACACTCTTTTACCTCAGAGTGATCTCTAAAACAAACCTGAGAAGAGGATAGTCTGTCTTCTTTAGAAGTTTCTAGAACTGGAGATTCCATGACCTCACTTGACAATAAACTAGAGGGCTTATTTTTTATCTGAAACTTCTTCCTTATGTGTCACCTAAATAGCTCAGGACAAGTCTTATCCAAATTTAATTCAGTTTCCTCATATTGACTTTGTATATTACATAGCTAGTAAATATCTGAGGTAGGATTTGAACCCAGGTCTTTCTAATTCCAAGTCCCAGTCCATCACTCTGTCCACTACTCTGCCAGACTGTCAGCTCTTTGATGGTAGGAACTGTTTCAACTTTGTCTTTTTATCCCTAGCTCCAAGTAGAGCAGCTGCCACATAGTAGGCACTTAATAAGATTTCCTAATTGATTAATTAGTTCTGTCCCTAGAAGAGATGGAGAATGCTTACTAACCATCTTCTGTAAAATGAACTTTTAAATCCACAGAGACCATCTCTCATATCTCTTTCTGAATGGAGTCATCTCAATTGTGGTAGAATCTCAGTAGTGTTGTCTCCTGTTGTTGACTCATTTCAGTCATGCCCAAACTCTTCATAACTCCATTTCTTGGCAAAGATACTGAAGTGGTTTGCCATTTCCTTCTCCTGCTCGTTTTATAGATGAGGGAACTGAAACAAAGTTAAATGCCTTGCCCAGGGTCACACAGCTAGTAAGTCTCTGAGGCCAAATTTGAACTCAGGAAGATGTCTTCACTCTATCCACTACTCCACCTAGCTGAGAGTTGTAAGCAGAGCTGGGCTCAAGAACTGGCAAGATAGACAGCAGCCTTGTATAATAGTATATATACACAAGAGTGTGTGCATGGGAGGGTGTTGGCTGGTATAAGAAGATAATCTTCATATATAACTTTCTAACAGAAGCACATTCCAAAAAATATTATTATCTTTTCCATATCATTTTTATTTCTGAATATGTACACTCCTCCTGCTACCCATATTAAAACCACTTACAGGAAATTTGCTTTTTTTTTTTTAACTTCCTCCCACTCCCCCCTCCAAACACAGTGTCATAGGCTTACAATAAACTTGTGTCCACAGGGAATATTTCTATCTACAGTACTATATGACTCTACCTTAGATGCACATAGTTTTGGTGCCAGACGATTGACTTCTCCATTCCACACAAGTTTGTATTGTGTGATGACTCACATCTGATAGTATATCTGTATCATGTATCTGATTTCCCTTTTTAAAACAAAACTGTTAGTGGATGACTGGTAACATCAGACGTTGACTGTTTTTGACATTTAGAGTAGCTGGCACTAAGAAGATATTCTAGCAGAATGTTCTAGGTTCAACAAGTCTGTGTTAGCGTTGGTATGGTGAGGTCAGCGTCCCCCTCATCTTTGGCTACTTTTGCTACTGAGTTATCCCACTGCCTAACCAGTCTGCTTTCCTAAGATGGTACAAGCAGAGCATTCAGAAAGAACCCTGATCACCCAGGGAGCACTGTGCAAAAACCCAGCTCAGAGTCAAAGGCTGATTTTTCCAGCTGCCGCACAGGACAAGGATTCACATGATATAAAGGGGAGACAGGGGGAGGAGAAGAAGAGCATCTTAGCACCTATTTACAGAGCTTCCAGGGAGCAGTATGGGGAGAGAAGGGGAGTGGAAAGAAAGTCAGTCAACAAGTATTTATTAAGCACTTACTACGTGGGCACCGTGCTAAATGCTGGGAACACAAGGAAAGGCTACAGCAGTCCTTGCCTCATGGTACTCACATTCCAATGGGTACTGCTATGCAGACTGAGACATACATTTTTGGATATGGCTAATGAACACTAATGTGGGAATTAATTTTGTTGGATTTGCAATTGATTTGTTATGAGGACTTTCCTTTTTTTTTTTTTTTAAATTGTTCAATTGTAGAGAGGCAATGGGAAGGAGAGAAAATAAATGCTTGTAAAAAGAAATAAATTATAAAAAATTCCTTAAAACAACAACAAAAGTGGGTAGCTAGGTGATGCAGTGGATAGACACTGGCCCTGGAGTCAGGAGGTCCTGAGTTCAGATCTGGCCTCAGACACATAACACTCACTATCTGTGTGACTCTGGGCAAGTCACTTAACCCCAATTGCCTCACCAAACAAAACAGAACAACAACAACAAAAATACAAGTTGTAGCTGTTACTTGTTGATGTAGTCCTTGTTTTTGGCCCTTGATCACTGTCCTTCAGGGGAGGGGGTGGGCCCAGAGGACCACGTGGCTAGTGTTCAAGGGCAGTGGCCAAAATGATGACATCCACTCCAGCCCTAGCCCCATCCCTAGCTGTCCATCCCTGCCCACCTCATAGAAAAGGGTGGCTTCTTTGATTACCCCCATATAGTAACATCAGATAATTAAAAATAGTCTGGAGACTCAAAGAATAATTATTTGATACAGGCATTTTACTAGCTTTTGGATGATAACAGCTTTAGAGCTAATAGTTACATTGTTTATCCTACAAAACATGAGAGGCAGCAGAACAGAGGTCATCAAGGATCCATGCAAACAAAAAAGTGGGCAGGGAAAAGAGGGATAACAGATAGATAGAGCCAGTGCTGCCCTGGTAGAGCTTCACACTGCCTCCAGAGGGCTGGAAGATGGGTGGGAGGCTATGGGCAGAAATCGAAGAAGATAAGAGGGCATAAGTAGGCTGTGATCTGTCAATAAGGGTATGGTGCCATAGAAATAGTGGTTCACAATCCTTTTTGCCCTGGAAAGGGGACAAAATGCACAGACTCTGCAATTAAAAAGATGGCTCTGACCCCAGGATTATTGAAAACATTTTAATTCCCCCATAATGTAAATAACCATGTACAGTTAATTCCAGGACAAAAAAAGAAAAGGAAAACAAGAAAATCAGCTGAATTGAATCCATGTGCTATGGCAGTTTCCCTGTCAGTATAACTTGTCCACAAATAGCTAGCTAATTATTTCAAATAGTCAAAAAAATGGATATATATATATATATATATATATATATTTTAAATTAAAAAAAACCCTCCCTCACTAGGTCTTTATGGGTTCAGAGAGGTCACTGGGTGCATTTTAGAAAAGAATGTACATAAGTTTTTATAGTATACTACAACATTCTCCATACTATTATAAAAATGAACAACTCTCATAGGACAGAAACATGTCTCAGGTGGGAGGATGCATGGGTGGGGAATCCAAACTATATTTACCACAGGGAAGAAGGTCAGTGCTTTAGGGAGTGACAGTGCTTCTCTGGTCTGGGGCCATGGGACTCCAGTGCTCTGTCGGCCTTGGTGGAAGGATAGTCATACTTTAGAGGCTTGGCTCAGTAAGTCCTAGGCTCAAGACAAGCCCTAAACAATAGCCGAACAGGTGTTCACCTATGTCAAATGTGTGAGGAGGTGCTAAAAGACTTCTCTTTGGCCTCTCTGACAAAAATTGTCTCTCACTAATTCTTCCACCGTTAGGACAATCCTTACTTATTCATGGTATCTCCCAACAGACACTGAGTGTCACAAGTGCTATGAAGGATAAAAAGATGATAGAGACCCAGTTTCTACTCTCGGGGCATTTCAGGGAGGGTGCACAACTCATCTGGGCCCTCATTATTGTTTGCTGGTCCTTTTCCTCTCCTTTTGTGGAACTCCTTTCATTTTCCACAGTGACTATCCCAAAGACTTTTTTTTTTGGTTTTTAACTCATTTTAATAAAGACTTGTTGTTTGTTTGTTTGTTTGCCTTTTTTTTTTTTGCTAGGCAATGGGGTTAAGTGACTTGCCCAGGGTCACCCAGCTAGTAAGTGTCAAGTGACTGAGATGGATTTGAACTCAGGTCCTCCTGACTCCAGGGCCAGTGCTGTATTCACTGTGCCACCTACTGCCTCCCAAAGCCTTTTTCAAGAGCCTGACTTGTGTACTCATAACTCTCCTCCCTTTTCCATACATAACAAGTGGTAATCTAATATTTTATTGAGAAGATTATAGTCATCTTACAGAAACCCCTTCAATTGCCCCCTATGTGCCTCAAAAACCTTCTGAGTACCATCATCCATGTCCTCCTTCTTTCATCTGGTCATAGATGAGAAGGAGAAATCCCTGCTCTTTGGCAAGGATACCTTTGATCCCATGTCTTCCCATCTCTTGTAGGGCCTCGCTCTAGCAATGGTCCCCTTCCTCTCATGTATATTTAGCCTTTTCTTTCTTCTGGCTCCTACTCACACCTACTCATATGCTTGCAAACGTGCTAGGAGCTCTCCAGCCCTGAAAAGGGCCTTGCCTTAAGCTGTCTAATGCATCTAGTTACCTCCCTCTATCTTCTCCTCCCTTTACTGATAAATTTTGCTAAAATTTTGTCTCTACTGGGGCTCCATCCCCTCCTCTGTACATTCTCTCTTCAGGCTTTTAAAACCTGGTTTCTGCTCACTCCTACCTACTCTACTGAAAGTCATCTCAACATTTTCCAATGATCTCCTAACCAGTGTTTAATAGCTTTCCCCTTCCCTCTCCACTCCCTTTCCACTCCCTTTCCCCAATCCTCATGTATAGCACCAGATGTTGTTACAACTCTTACTAAATATCTTGGCATCAATCTCCACCTGTTCTACAGGGCAGCCTGGAGAAAGATGCCTTGGAAATCCCTAATAAATTGCTACCATCAAAAAGACAGCTTAACAGCATACACCCTACCAGCTTGAACTGGCTTACCAGAACTGATTGTTAAGCTTTCAGTGTGAGTATTTACACCTTGGAAATTGGCCAAAGCTCCAAATA